GTTTTCAGCCGAAGTGCGACCGGGCCAACACTCTAGTGGGTGTTAAAAATATTCGGTCGTAATCGGGCGTGTTCCCCTATCATGGCTCCACTTCAACCCTATCCGTTGAAGGTGAAGTGAAGGCCCCAGCTTTAATCCGTCGTTTCCGTGGTTTCCAGAGATTAATCCTGGAGAATGCCGGTGTCATCGTGGCACGGTGTGATACTTCCTTTCGCTCCTGCGAGAAATATGAACGAGGGGGAGGGGAGGAAGGTGTTAATAAAAAAAGAACGTTCTTTTATTACAGTTTCGTAATAAATATATTATCTTCAAAACAATAATTAATGTTACAATTTATTCACAATATATCTCTTGTTGAAAGTTTTAAAAATGTTTTAAACTGTGTATAAAACACGGAATTTTGAACTAATAAATTACTTTAATTTTTCTCAGGATAATGTGAGTGTATGAGAGGGAGAGTTCAGGAGGGAATTCTCATCTCAAAGGGCTGTCTGTTAAGAGGTACGTTTTACTAGAAGGGAGAGAGTGATAAGAAATAATTAAATTTTGAGATCATATTTTTTTAACAGCTTCTACCTCTACTCCCTGAGTCCGTCGCCGAAGTCTTCAATTTAAAACTTTGGTCAAGAAAGTCTTACCCTACAGTGAAATTAACGTGTTCTGAGATTTAATTCTAATACAGCTATTAACTTGGAATAAATTTTATTGAAAATATACTCTTAACTAAAATTGATAATTTTTTTAAATATCGTAATACACCGAAACAAATTGCCGATACCAAAGGACCGATATATCTAAAACAGACAGTGGCAAGCTTGGGAAGAGATTGGTGAATGAAGCCCTTTCCAATTTAAAACAATCCTGCTTCATACGGCGTCACCACGCCTCATGGATGTTGTGAATGTAGAGTAAACAAACTTTACTTTTACGATTTATCTTAATATCGTACTATTAAAGCCAGGTCGTTCTGACACTTACAGAGAGAGAAATGCGACAATATCTCGTAAAGCGTCACGTCATTTCCGACAATGTCGGCTTTAATCTTCTGCAGAGGAGCATTCCCCTTCCTCGCAAGAAATCTCTGGCCGCAGCACTGATTTCGAGGAAAATATTGTGGCCGATATTGTGGGAAAATATAACATGAGATATATTAATATTTGGCGGAGATATAATTCTTTTAATTGATTGAAAAACTAAGGCAGATGTTTAATTTTAAATATCTTAATAAATTATGCTCGAAACACCCAATTTCTGAACAATTAGTTAATATTATTTAATTCAGGAAGGCTTAGTATGTGTGTGTGTGTGTGAGAGAGAGAGAGAGAGAGAGAGAGAGAGAGAAAGGGAGAGAGAGAGAGAGGGAGAGAGAGAGGGGGAGAGAGAGAGAGAGGGGGAGAGAGAGAGAGATAAAGACGGGGGGATCCAAATGGAGCGATTTAATAATATATAGAATATCGGAAGGCGTTGGAGGGTGCTAGGGGGAGCGGGAGGGCGGGTCCCACACTGCAGGCGAGCGACTTCCGACGCGCGCTAATACGGGGGCTAGGTCGCGTAGCCACGTCAGCCGATGCCGCGGCTCTCCTCCCTACAAGCGAACCATTGGTACCGACACGGCCGCGCGCTAGCACGCAAACGGCATCTTAAAAGTGCGACGTAGCGCGAGAAGACAAAACGTCGTTCGTGTACTTCCCTTTTGGACGGCAGAAGAGGGAAGAGAAAGGAGACTGAACGGCCGGGGGAAGAAAAAACAAAAACAGAAAAGCGAAAAAAAAGGAAGTAAAAAAAAAACACGCACACACTCCCGCGGGAACCACGGCCGATGTTTCTGCAGGAATAAGCAGCAGCGGCAGCAGCAGGTACACCGCACGTAGAAACGAAACCGACACGCCCCTTGCTAAACTAATATTTTATAGAAAGGCCGCAGAAGATGAAAATGTCAGGCGCGGGGCGGGATGGCGAGTCGGCGGGCGGTGGCGGGGGAATCGGGCGGGGGAGGCAGAACAGGCAATGGAGCTGTTCTGGAACTGGGATGCGATACATTCCCGCGCCTCCGTACGAGACTGCGCGATAGGCTCACGACCCAGCGCGACCCGACGACGGCTCACGTGGCCCGGCCGCGCACTCCTCTTCTCCACAACTTCGCTATTTCGAGACCTCTTCAATGCTTTTTATTTATTCACGGCCACACACTAAAAATTGTACGACGCTTCGAGAACGCTTTACATTGAGTGGTAGTCCAAAAGTAAAGAAAGGGACTATCCCAGCATTTGCTGAACGGATGAAGGGAAAACAAAGTAAAATCCATTCGTGAGAGATTGGGATGCTGTTTTAAATATTAATAGAAAACTTTAGTGAAAAATACTAGTATGGTTCATTATTTGACACAACCAATATCTCTTCGTTACAATTCCGCACAATACATTAGAAGTTCTTATGTATATAGGACGTCATCAAAATGCTACATATGTTAGCATACTTATTAGCATTTTATCGTTATTAAGCGTTGAGTGCTAGAGTTCACATGAATAATACATTGTAACTTTCAATATATTATTAGAAGTTCATTATAATAAATGTTATGCAACCATTCGCAATTTAAGAGAGTAAAAATCTTTGTTTCGCGGGTAAAGTACTATCAATTATAAAAAAAATCTATTCTTCTAAAACATATTGCTATAAAACTTATTAATGCGCTAACGAGGTTTTAAAAACTTGTCTAGTGTGAGGAGATACCCTTGAGACTTCTAAGTTGTAGCGAACTCTTGCCGGTCGGTAAAAATAAATCGTACACACACGCACACATAAAAGCACAAACTGGCGTTGCCTTGCTTAGTTTAGATTTTAACCAATGTAACTTCCTAGGAGCATTCCTTTCAATGATTTGTCGATTTATGTTCTCACAATGTCTCCCTCTTACATAAAAGAGAAATAGAATATTTTATAGAACATTTATCCTCCCATCACCGATAATTTGTCAGAGTTCTTTCCCCATTCTTAAAAAAAAAAGGATTGATGGAGTCGTGTGGTACGGCCGTCATCAAGCCCTCACCAGTGCATTATACCAATACGGTAAATAAATAATAACGCCCCTGCCTTGTTATTCCGCAGTGCACGATTCCATCCGCGTTTTGTCTATTGATCTGCGCCCCTGGAGCGCCCCCTGCCCTGCCGCCCCACCTTCCGTGGCGAGGGAGGAGGCGGAGGGTTGCAGGAAGGGGGGAGCCGATAATTAAAATCGAACGCGAGATTCTTCTCCCCGACATCTCAGCTTTCCTGATTGATCCTTAATCATCATTCATATCATTCAAATCCTGTCGCGAGGCCAAGGAGGCGCTACAACAAAGGGCGACATCGCACATACTCGCAATGAGACGTCTTTTTTTTTTTTTTGCTTCGTGCACCGCGTCTAGACCTTTTCATGCAATGCTTTATGTTGAATATAAGTCGTAACCGCGGGTGGTCCCCTAATATTAATCAAAATGGCAGCGCCCTGGTGGCGGCGCCTGGCCACCGTTAGACGCCCGTCGCCGCCGCCACTGCCGCGGGATGTGGTGCGCGATAAGAACCGCCTCGCCCGCCCCCGTCCCTGATTCCGTGGAAATGCCCCGCCCCGGCCCGCCACTCCTCGCAACCTCTCTCGTAGTCGTAGTCGATGACGCACCTGTCGCCTACAATTATACAACGGACGATCTCGAGTGGAGGATGGAGAGTGGGGGGGGGGGTGGAGGGAGGGACGCACGACCCCCAGTCAGCATCCGACCTCGCAAGGGCGTCCTTCGGTTTGCTCTCTGGTGCTCCGCGGCGTTCCAGCAGGTTCTCTTCCGGTTAGAGGAATAATCTTCATTAAAATCAATACAGTCAAACGCAGATCTGTGTTCTAGATAAAAGCGGAATGAACTTGTATGATCTTCTATTGTTTGAAAGGTGAGAATTCACTCTTCCAGCCATTATAATAGGTTTTTGTTATTTCACCGACTTAAAAAGTTATTAAAAATAAAGGTGCGTAACAAAAAGACGTGTTGCACAAAAAAGATTTGGCAAAGCTTTGGCGAATTGCGAATATAGATTTCTCGATGTCACCGTCAAGAATTATTAATTACATTGCTACTGCATGTTTAGAATTGAAGGAAAGGAAGAATTCATTGAAAAGGAAGGGAATTTATCATATTTAAGTAGCTCATGAGATATGAAATACAATGTACTGATGTATATTTTCCGTTATCATCACATGGAATATGGAAAACAAAACTAATGAATACGTAGCAGAAACGATCCGTAGAAGAAATGTTCTGAATTAGAAAGACACAAATTCATAATTGTCTCGAACAATATAAATCATTGAATAAATAACCGACTTGATTGGAAGCGATTCTAATAACTTTCACAAAATAATAATAATAATAATAATAATAATAATAATAATAATAATAATATATTCTTACACAGCTGTTCCCCCCATTTTGTGCGTCCACAACGCTGCATTCCCTTCCTCGTGACGTTCACCCGCGAAGGGCCTACAGATTGTCGGAAGTACTTTCAGTACTTAGGAAATAAATAGACCGGAAAAGACACGACAAATAGGGGCTTCCAGGAAAGAGCAGGGGGACGCGTCGGCGGTCTTCTAATGAGGTTAATGCAAAGATGAAGAGTTCTTTTTTAGCGGTTTGTTACACATTAAATTCAAAATTGAGTGTACTACTGTGATGGATATCCTTGTATTATCATCATTCAGCAATAACATTATAATATAAGAGTTTATAATTATAATGGTTTATGAAGGGGGTTATAATAGTTTCAGAGAAAAGAAATGTAAGATCAGCACTTATGATTTCTTTTATTATTTTAAGTGGCTAATACAAATGTAAAATTCTTGAACATCGAAATTTGTTTACTGACAAAATTTAATCAATATATCGTCGCAGCATTTAAAAGACACAGAACTTCCTTTTCGGAACCTTCTTCACCTTCTTCCTTTTATTTAATGGATTTTTAGGATACGAAATAAGATGTCTCTTCAAGTTCACTTTCACTGCACGACGTTCCCTAAGTCAGCGAAATGAGCCAACCGCGTGTATTTAGCGATGGCTCAAACCCACGCGCGCCACCTTCACTCTTGCGAGTCGATTCGCCGTGTCCCGTCTGACCCGTTCTGTTGCATCCTAACCCCGCCAGAACTTCCCAACCGCACCCTTCCCAATCCGACGCAGCACGCACGTACGGATATGTATTCTCATCGGTCGTGCGACGCTGCTAGCATTGTTTCCCATACAAACGCACTACCGGAAGATGGGTGTCGCTGACCGTCTTGGTGGCTTTTGTTCTCGGCGGCACGTTCTCCCCCCAAGAGCGGACACGTAAGCCTAGAGGGTTCTAGCTGGCGAAACATTACACATGCATCACTTACGTTGGCGGAGAAATACATTTGAGGCTCCCTTTCAAAAGATCGTTTCTTGTGGACTTTATTACGCCAAGAGAAATCCTTTCATCCATAACTTGTGGTGCCTCCGTTGTCTTGTCACTCGCATTACGAATAGCCAAGTAATGCTGGTAGCAAAGCAGAAGAGGGGAATATTTACCTGGAACAGAAAAAAAAACTCTATAAATTTCATGAATGAATCTTAAAATCTATACCATTACCAATTTAATACAAACTCAGCACATAAAACTAAACACATTTATAACGCAGCGGAAAATACAGATTTGAGCCCAACACACCGAATAGACCAGAATAATAAAATTCAGTCTTCAGATCCCTATTGACCTACGTCGAAGAGGAAACTGTTTCCCTCATCAATTATAAGTTTACAATAAATTACATAAATTATCATCACAAAAGCATTCTTCTGAAATGCAAATGACAAACCCTCGCGATGGCTCCAAACAAGGTTATAATAATTATAACGTTATTAATATAAATTTTAAATTTTACGCACAATATTTTGAAAGTGCAGCATAAAAGACTTTTCTCGAATTTTATGGCGGAGAAATGAGGCGGATGGCGGCCGCCTTAAACAGAAACATCGACATGCCCCGCACGCGAGTGACCGATCCGAAATTCCCTGAAGAGGGCAGGGGCCGCTTTTATTATTTGCAACCAGGAAGATCCATGGCCCAAGGCGCTACGCTCCAGCCCTTGTAACCCCCGTTCCCCTGCCCTCTCACCTCACCCCTTCGTCCAACTGACCCAGTCGGAGGACCGCCCTCGGATAAAACGCTGCTCGTAATAGCACAATTTTCTTTTCGTTTCCTTAAAAAAACACACAAAATAGGAAGCCCAAAGGTTAGGGTTCTTCATCCAATAATCCCGAGTGTTCTTTTTTTATTTATTTTTTACGATGCACGCTTCAAGCCCTCGGAACCTTTTCTCCTTCCTTATAACAAAAGCTTCATCGACAGAAGTTACAGATATATCACAAAATGCGATCTCCTTTTCATTTTAATTCAATATTTTAAAATTTTATCAAATCATTACGTGTATACTACTATAAAGGTAGATACAACTAAATAAAACTGCGTATCAATGACAAAAATTAATTTACAAATAAACCCCACTTAGTGACACATATTTCAATTCACCCAAAATGCGCACTCTACAAAAATTGGGAGTTGGCAGCAAAGCGCCATGAAATTGGATTTTAAGAAATCAATCATACTGAGTCATTAACAAAGTGACTAACGACAAATATTGGCAATGTGATAATTCACTTTTCTAAAAGTTAGATGTTCATCAGTAATGCGAGTAATAATTAGTTATAATTATAAGTCTTAATTTCAAATTTGTGAAAAGGAAGATAACCGTGATTGAAAACAACGAATGATTGAAAATATTAACTGCCAACTGCTCAACTTCCATTTCTTCCCAAAATAATATCAACAGAAATAGGCGTCAAAAAATATGGATTTTAACAAAAATATGTATGTTAAAAAATTAATGTTCTAGTTACCATTTGTAAAGTTGAATTCCAAAAGACTAACAATGCATGTAACTAGATTTGCCCTTCAGCTTCTGGGTCAATGTTCCACATCTCGAATGAGTTTTCGCCTAGTTTCCTTTGAACCATCCAGCAAATACTACAACGGCCATTTGCTTTACTTTTGGACATAAATGTAGCTTCACTAGTTGCGCACTGTTTCTTCAACGCTTTGGGGGTGTTGGCAGGGAACTTTGTTGCGTCAAAAATACCATAATCTCGTGATAGTGAGTCAATTCCGTCATATGGGCACGGTTAATGATAAGACCCGAAATTTGCTGGTGAATTGCACATGAAAATAATTTTATAACACATTACCGAATTCTTCTGGTCACCAAATTTCAAAAATTCTCGTAGATACCTATATTTTTATTAGCTGAGTATAGTAAAAGAGCATGAATTACAAATTAATTAGGAATTACGAAGCTGAAGAAAATGTCTGGAGATTGTATTTCTCCCCCATTAGTCACATACGGTTATTGACTGCCTTTGTACGTTAAATTAATAAATAAACCATTAATGAATCCGGGTTTTTGTGGAGACACGAAAACAGTTACCATTCCTGCTACTGCCAGCTTCATCTCCCCCCCCCCTCTGGATGGCTTCTCCATGCTCGGCCAACGCGTCCTGCTCGGTCTCCCGCCCTCTGACAGGTAGTCAAAGTAATCCAATGTATTTCTTTTTCTGAATCAGTCGAGTGATGCCAGGGAGCAGAATAAAGAGTCGTCAGGGAGTCGAATGCGAGTAAACCATACGAGGCTTCTATTAGGAGAAGGCCATCTCCAGTAGCGGGCTGCCTTAACAAAACGGTACACCTTGTACCTTCGTCGGGATGACACATTAAATCCCTCGAAAACATATACATGCTTACAAGAAGCTTAATACCTAACATCATAACCCAAACTTTACTCAAAACCAGTTTGATAGCGTTTTATACTTATTTCCTATGCTCCCGAAGACTGTGGTCGTTAATTGTTCGTCCCTAGAACCACAAACTCACCACTTAACAATTGGATACCTTCGTTACGGATGATGCTAAAACTGAAAAATGTATGCTTGAAACAAACTTTAATTTCATTTATGAATATGCTACGTTATTACTGTTCTAGGGTTCTTGTTGAATAAGTCTTGAAATCATCACCTCTGTCAAGATCCACGCGTCATCGTTAAAGTAAAATTTCTGTTTGTGCCAAGAAAATCAGTATTCATTTCATACGACAGAGACATCATTTCATCCAAAACATATTTTTCTTTATCAGATTGTATTTGGTACGGGGAAGAGTTTGAAAAGCTATGTCTTCCTTTGAAAGCAAATAAATTATTCTTAATGGTATACATCAAAGGTCGACGTAAAAATATAAATCAATTTGCTGAGTAATAAAACAATGATATACTAATTCTATAGTGAATCTTTCACTATAATTCTCTCACTAGCGACTAAAGTTCCTAAACGGACATCTGGAAAAGACAACTATCTGTCCATTGTCTTTGAGTTGTTTTATGTGCTTAAACAAGGTATGTGCCTAGGAGTGTGATTAACGCCTAACACTAAGTAAATAATATTTTTGCAAGAAAACAAATTTTACGATTAATAAATTCGTTAACCCACCATTTTTGTGTAGCAGAGTAACTTAAAGTCAATTTCAAACATCTAGTAAAGTACGTTTGAAGAAGTTCTGTAAAATTAAGTAACAGGTAATTTCTACATTTCAATAAATAAAGCATGAAATTAATGAAACATAAGTAACTTCAGGCTACATGTTTTGAAATAAATAAGTATAAGTAGTAAAAATTATTAACGGTGAAAGGTTTTCCAACAATACCAATAGATTAAATATATCAGAGAAGATTGGAATAATTTGTATTCATCATTGGATAACGTTATAGATTTAGCAACTGTTATGCAGTACTCACTTCAACAATATTTTTTTTAAATATTAAATTAGAGTAGAAAAGAACCCCCTTTCACTGAAATTACGAACGAGTTTGACCACAAAATACACAGCATTGCTCTCAAGGGATGACCAAATACTGAATTCCTAAAACATATAACATAAGATTATTTTTCTCTGAAGGTACGATTACGAATAGCCGAAATACAATATTAAACCCAAAGTTCTAATTTCAAATTGTAAAAGAAAAACCATAGTAGAAACCTACGAATTTCCAGCTTGTAAAATGCTGCTGTAAAAGCAATGTAATTATCCAAAAAAACAAAAACAAAAATCTTCTTACGAAACATAAAACTAAAAATGTTTGTGAAGATGTCCGCGTCGTCAGGAGTGGAGAGAGAAACCTTTACTTAAAGACATGCCCTAATGAGAACAAAGGACGGTCTTCTGTTCCTTGGAGACGTTCATTACACTTTTCTGTTTATTTACAGGCCAGACCCAACTCGAGCAATAGCACCCCTGGATGAATATGTGTGTTCCTGCTCAGTCGGTAAGAGGCACTGCCTGGACAACAAATGCCAAGAAAAAACAATGAAGAATACAGGTTTATATAAGTTGGCAAGGCACTTCGGGCGTACTTTGTACCCCTACTAGTTGTTGAATATACTGAAAGCGAGTATACAATATGTAGCGTTTAGATGTAAATAATGGTAACCAGAGATTGATTCTGGCAGAACGCGCCGAAACTGCGTTCTGGTACCTCCCGAATAAAATAATTAAGACAAACAAAAATCAATGAGCAAACACTTTGGAACTTCGATTTCCAGTTTATCCAAACTTTCTAAATAGAAAATTAAATACATTTCAACTTAACTGCACCTATCAATATAATAAAACTATTTGTAAATAAGAATAAAATATAATATACTTTAAAATACTTTCGTAAAATATTATTACTATTACTATTATTATTACTTTGTTTTATTTTCATGCATCAAATCTATCATTGTTACTTTTTATTTGTATTATTAATACAAATGATTATGAACAATTACTACACCATAATATGAATATATAACTTCTATTAAAATTTTAATTAATTTGCAGTAGCGCCTACATTTTTGGCAATCACGCACTGATGGTAACTGACATTTCACATTTCGCAGGATAATTCATTGTGAAGCCGCGGATTTGTTGTGCATTTACATAATGTCGAGCAACAGTTAAAAACTGTACGACGTAGGAGAAGTACAATCTGTTAGGCTTTGACGAAGAGCACACAAGCCATTTCGTACGATTAACCATTCCATTTGTTGCACTTTCTTTCTGAATTTTAGCCAGAACTTCTCAATCTTCTTCATAAAGGCCAATTATTTCTATTGAAAACTTAACTATGGAGAGTTTCACGAAAAAAAGACCGACAAACGTCTGGACCGAACTTTCCGGACTGAAAATTATTTTTCTCATTTATCCATACAAGCAAAGAGACTCTTAAAGGTTACTATACGAGTTGAATTAAGGTAAGTTGAATAAAAGTTGTATAGAAATAAGTTATATTGTCAGATGTTATTAATTTTAATTGAAAATATGAGAAACGAGGAAAATCCAGCCCAAGAACAGAGTAAATATCTGCGGTACCAGAAGAGATTCGAAAATGTTTCAAATAATAGCTCTATAAAGTCACATCTAGGCTACCAACAACATTTTATTTCA